TCTGCCATCAGTCCTTAGACCTCGTATCGACTTCGGGTTTTCGCTATATGAAAGTTTACGAGTTCCAGATGTGCAATTATTGAAAATTAACTTTGGTATCCATCACATTGTTGCCCAAAATCGGTCTAAATCGTTTTTTATGCATTAATTTTCTTGTCAAAAAGGGGAAACTGCTCGATGGCCAAGAAAGAGTCTCTCCGTCTACCTATGTGGTTGCGCTGGCAGTTCCCACGTAGTAGTGGTTTTGGTTTTTATAACATGTGACCTGCCTTCAGTGTAGGAGGTTTTCTCCTGTTAGTTGTGCTTCACAAAGTTCAATTTTAGCTTGATAAGGTGCACTGCAGTACTCATATTGTTCTTATTTTATATGTGGGTACATGGTAAACCACCTAAAAACCGCAGCTAGCTCAATGAAACAAAGGTGCTAACAAAATCGAAATGAATAATTTTTCCAGGGCACGTACAGCATTCGACAACTAAAAATCTCGATAAGACTTTAATTTTAGTACATTGAGAAAACACACCAGCCTCCACAATTCCAAAAAATTATATTACAAATGCTTATTTAAACACCTAGAGCATAACCTTGGGTACCAAACGAAATTTGGCATGAGAACTCTTACCTAGGTCGTAATTTGGGCTCAATTACACAATATAAAACATTTACAGATGAAACAACTTGATTAAACGAAATGAAAATAGGCACTCAGGGCCAGAATGCACATACCACGCTTACAAGTGATCGATTCAAACTATTAATTAAAGAAATCTTAATTACATTAAAATGAGATTTACGTTAATTGACGCATAAGCACCAAATTATGATACTTCGCAACTTATAGATGGCATAAGCGATAACTGGTCGATAAACACAACACTCCGACTAACCTCTACGTAAACTAAAATTTTTAAATCCTACTCACTAACCAACTTACTTCTACCAAACTTTACAACCGGTAAGACAGATTGTCTTGCAATAATACACTCAAATACAGCAAAACCTTGTAACGAGAGCATTTATTTGAATGTAATTTTTTCGATTTATGCGGAATAAAATTTCGAAATTTAAAAAAGAGTGAAGGTTTCAAGAACATCCAACCAAAAAAATATCACTCGTGTTAAGTTCAAGTTTTTATTTTATCGATTGTAATAGCAGAGAGCTTGCGTAATCTTCTCACACGTTCGTCAATTGATTAATTGTTTTTAATTGTGTCTGGTTCTGGTTTTGAATTAAACGCTGGAAACAGATCGTATTAAGTTACTTCTGCAATTACAGCTTGCTAAAAAGGAGCTGACATCGCAGGCCCTGAAAGTCCGGCGAACCAATGAAAATTACATACCGCCGCCATTACTTCCACCATTGAGTAGGCATTAAAAGATGACTTAGGGTTCACAGATGGGATTATTTTGCACGAAATTAAGGCATTAGCGGTTTGGTAGTCGAGCTGAAGCCAGATTCGAAGATTGGCGGATAGCCGAGCTTAGGTTTAAGTAAATTCAGGGCGACATCGAGTTCAAAAAGCTCGCAATCGTGCAGATTCCATTCAGTAAAGGACAGTCCACTATTCGCATTCGTAAGCAAATTTCTTGGGAAACTTGGCTTTGTGTCTGTGCAGTGATATCAAGAAAAAAGAGAGGTGAAATTTACAGTGAAAGTTACAGCAAAGCTGAGCTATTTGTCAAAATTTAAATAATAACGTTCATTCTTAGTGCTTCTAAGACAAAAGGGCCGTTCTCTCAAATTTGAATCAAACCGTGATAAAATCCAGTTCATCTGAGTGTGTATGCAAAACTCACTTCTACTGATCAGCAAAAAAATTCACATCGAGAGCAAACCTGTATTGTCCAATCAATCGTCAAAGTCCAACCCCAAGAGTAGTCGCCTAAAGATTGTTCCAAGCCGGCGGGTTTAGGTATGCAACCCTTTAGAAATCTCATATCAACCCCAATTGACAAGTAAAAAGGTCCGCTGTAAAAGCTCCCTCAGATCATCCATGCCGACGAAAAATTGTAAATAAAGGTTAGTCGTATTTTGTCAAATTTACTCGATAACTTTAAGATCCACTGTCAAGCTGTGTAGGATGAAATTTTCGGAAATCCTAATTAAGATGGACAAGCGCGGTCTCCTTTTTTGTGTAATTAATTTTCGTAATTAAATTTTATTAATTGTCATGGGTCTATGTGACGGCATGGAGATTATTGTGCTAAACGAGAAAGCGGTCAAGGTTGATTTTGTTTACATTTTATTTTATTTAAACGAAGGAAGTTCTGGGAGTTTTGTTGGGTCTTTATTTGATATCAAATGTAAATGCTTAATTTAATTGTCAGGTGGATGTGGTTTATCGCCTTTTCTGTGTAGTTAAGAGAGATGAAATTTCATTTTTTTCCTAGAATTTAAGTTTGGATTTATCTCTTAATGTTTGATAACAAATTGATTTAGAAAAATTAATTTACCTCTATTTTTTGGCCTAATAATGTTCGGTAATAGGATAGTTTTGTTTCTCTCATTGTTGTCTGTGTATGATTGGTTGTTGTAATTTTTATTATCGAAAGAAGGGTTTCGCCTTAAGTAGGACGTTAAGAAGAAAAGCGTCGCTTTTTGCTTCAACCAACGAAGAACTACGTTTCTTTGCAAATTTAAATCAGCTTTTTGCTACGTTCAGCACCGAGTTACGTTTCGTTGAAGAATTTAAATCACCTTTTTGCCTCAGTCTACGAAGTACTACGTTTCGTTGAAAATTAAAAATCAGTTTTTGAGCCACGTTCACTGCCGAGTTACGTTTCGGAGATTTATTCGCTTTTTGGGAGTTTCATTCGTTGAATTACGGCCAGTTTTTATTTATTATTCATTTGAAGCCACAGCCAGCATCGAAAGATTTATTCCTTCGTTTCTGTGTGAAACCGGAAGCAGAATTGGCGGCTAATTATTGTTCTAAATTTTGAAGTTTGAAGTTTTGGCCATCAAAGGTGCTGCAAGAAGAGGTGTTTGTCGGCGCCCCCATAGGTGAGTTTTCAACATGACTAAGTTTTGAAGTTGAGCTTTTTTCTGAACGTCTTTGTTTTGCTGCGATTACCCGATGTCGTTAGTGTAAAGTGTCATTTGTGTTGATTGAAAATTGCAATTCTAGTGTACTGTGTACGGATACCTTTTAATTGGATATTACAATTCCCGAACAAGTAATGTAAGTAGTTAAGTCTTAATTTTAGTCTATTTGTAATAATTGTTTGTGTTTGTGTACCATTTTCCTTTTAAATCGCACTTTTGTAATTTTCACATTAATTTTCCGTGTGTTTCATTCTAACGACTTCATTTCTAATTTACCTGTGTTTTTATTAGATGTTTGCCCAAAATCCATTTTAATTATTCAAAATTTTGCAGTTCAGTTTGGAGTTTAAGGTATTTGGTTTGACCCACTACCTGTTAGAAGTTAACAGGTTAAGTGAGAGCAGAGTCGAATTTCTTCTCTGTACTGGGGAGAAGTTTTGTGCACACAGCGCCCAAAGTGAGGCACACAGCAATATTGATCCGTAATTTGGTGTCAGTTCTAATTAATTTCTCTTTTTCGAAATCAAAGATGAATGAAAGTTCAAGGATTATTTATTATGTAATTTGTCACAGTAAAATCAAAATTAAGGTTTGATCAAAGTGTAAAGGTACTTATGTAAATTGGCAGTAATCCAATTTCAAACAATTAAGTAATCTAGAGGTAAGAAAAGGGATGGCAATTTTAAAGTGAATTTCAATTATCCCAAATTATGACAGACAGCGACCTTATAGTAAATGAAACATTAACGAAAAAAGGTAGATCTAAACAACTCAATTTCCCTGGAGCTCAAATATAATTCACAATGCCATCAAAACTGCAGCACTGTCTACCCATTGACTTTGAGTTTACCATTGTTAAAATTTACCTATACTCACTTTTTTTACATTTATAGTATTTGCATTGTTAAAGAATTTTGCGATGCAGTAAAATTTAGCCTTATTTACCTAGTCCAATAAACTTGAACAATCTACATACAATCAAAGGTCACAATTTATCATATTTTACACACGTCATCCATTCAATAAAAGAACATAGGCAACGCTCCTGGAAAGAGCTATTTTTCGTCAAAATTCTGGTAAAAGATGGCATACTTGATGGCATTGATTTTCCCAACGAAAAGCTCATTGATGACCTTCACCCTACAAGTCTATTACAGTCTCGCATGAACATTAAATAAACATAATAATGCTTAGGTGTGCCACACCAGCTTGTAAAATAAGAGTCTCTCCTAAGGTTATGGGACCACTATACGTTTAAGTTCACCTGTAAAACGTTATAAATTATAAGCGAATCACACACATCCTTTGGCTTTGTCACGCACTCGAAACCTGCATTTTTACGATTCATCTCGAAATAATGGGCACTGATTGTGACGAAATAGCAGTAGAAATAAATTATGCGTACGTACGCCAAACAAGCAACCAAATTATTTGATGTTAATTATAGCCCAGGAAACTGAATTCTTAAATAAATAAAACCGCTAAATAAAGCTTAAGGCAAAAATAGGCGCCATTAATGACATCCTAGCGGGGCGACGTGTGTAGATGATAACATGGCAACACTTCTAAGTTGTATATCTCGCATAGACTCATCTGTGCCTACGCAACTTTCACAATCACGAAATATACAAAACACTCCTGAAATATTGTCAAGTCCATCGCTAATGTTACACGAACGGCCTCGTAGTTCATTCATTCATTCATAGATTCTAGTTACGAAATTGTAGACCTGAAACGAGGTTGCTTATTTGCAAATTGCATCATACTCTCCAACCTACCGTTTAAAATTCTACCGTCGAGAAATTTTTCAATTTAAATATCAACGGATTACTCATTTAATTAAAGGTTTCTTTAAATTTATGCTTTCGTAAATTTCATTAATCCAATACGATATAAATACTACTCGCACAATGTCCTTTCAATAAACCCTAGCTTTGGTAGTAATGAAGTCAGATTTGTAATAAAACACACCTACTTAAATGCAATATAAAATATAACAAAAATTCTGACGTATGTGGCAAGTGTATAGCAGGTTCCTAATTGTGAATGGCATTGTGTATTAATGAGACACACGCGTGTGCAGTTCTATAAGGAACTGGCGACACGATATGTTGTTCGCCTACGCTTTGTCTAATGACTCCTTTAGAAAAATGCAGAAGTTCTCAAACTGTACCAATTTGCAAAAATTAAAGGTCTCGGCGTGGGGCCACTTTAAATATACTTCGGGTAGTACTATTTTTCACGAAAAACAAACGCCTCTCTACTTATCTCGGTAATTATTTGCAGGTTGCGTTGATTTAAGATAATAGGGTGAAAACGCTCTGTAGATCACATAGCTCACTCGAAAATGAGAGCGTTCGTAATAGTAATCTTAATTTCAGGGTGTTGTTTATATGATATGTCCGCAACAGGTTGGATGTGGGCCAAAGTTTTGTCACCAATAATGTTCAAAATTTTAGGATACGGTGAGGAATGTGAAATTTCAAATCAACGCATACCCAACACGCAGTGCTTAAACAGTGACAGTAAATGTCCACTTATGAGAGCAGTATCAAAAATATGTCCGGAAGGCTTGGTATGTTGCGTGAAGATACCTCCAATACTCGGGGAACAAACCGATACGGCACATCCCAAATTAGTCTATAAGTTCGGTTAAGTATATGTGAAAAGTGCATATTTTTCTAGTAAAGTGATAAAGTCGTGGAGCAAAAAATGTTTTGTAACTACGCCCCTAAAGCCTAAAGGGTATTAAAAAATTGTAGCGCTAGTAACACCGTAAAAGCGTTGTTTATGTATTACAATGATGGTAAAAGTAGAAAACGTAGAAAACTGGTTACAAAAATATACCCAATGGAAACGTGTACGCCGGTTGGTAGACAACCAATCGACCCAAGTAAAATTGATGGTGATCGTCACACAACGTTACTTCAGAATACTTTGGAATTACTTTTCTCTACCAAAACTTTATATCTGCATTAGCTTATACCTATTGTTTACAAGCATATAAATTTTGAGTCACAAATTTGTGTTTTGTACCACCATCCACTATAAATAGGCACTTATTAATTCGTTAAAACACAGTAGAAGTCTCTTTCTAAACCTCTAATTACCAAAATGTGTTCCTTAGGCCATGAATGGTAAATGGAGGTGAAAATTGGATCGTTTGGGATTTAATTTATTATTTATTGATAAATTTATAACGGCCCTTCAAAAAAATCTACATATTAGCATTTCGATATTTATTAGTTTACTTGGAGACAGATTAATAACACTTAATTAATTAATTTATTTTTGCACGAGCGGGTTTATCATTATTATAACTGCGATATCAATTTAAGACATTCTAAACACAATTGAATGTGTTTATACTCGTATGTCAAATATAATGAAGTCTATTATGGAGGTCTCAGTATCCATAGCTCAAATAGTGGCAATGTTTTTTATTTTTTTTTTCTATCTTTTGAAATAACATCAGAAAGAAAGAAAAACAAAATCGACAAATTTCGGTTTTTCTGGAATATCTTCGGAAGTAATCGAATCTAGGCATATTAGGATTCTTAGTTTTGCTGTAGTTTTTATTTTCTCGCCCTCGATGCTTTTTGGACCGCTGAACACGAATTTTCGTCAGTTACTTTGTTTCTCTGCACTTTTTGTCCAAATTTTTGCACTTCTCAGTTTTGGGCCGATATCACCAAAAAAGAAGCTTTTGTAACCGTAAGGAAGCTAAAGGGGAATTAGCAGTATAAAGTAATAAGCGCGGGTAGAAATGCAATTTTATTTCAGATGTAAATAGAATAAGAACATAAATGCTGCATATACTTTGGGTATGTAAATTATTCGTTGTTGTGAGATAAAGCGCTTCCAAAGTCAACATGTGTATCAACCGTGCTCCACGTTTTAAGCTAAATCATCCACTAGGGTGGTTTCCGAAGACCGAAAATCATACCTAGAGTACGATATTGTTGTGTAAACAATGTCAGGTTGGGGGGACCTTGAGGTTTGGATCTAGGCATTTGGAATGAATCCGGGTGGTTTAATTATTAATTAAATGCTCATTACAATTCATGATAATCAATTTCGTGGGATTATTTACGAATAAACACAAAACGATTGTGCGGATTTACCCTGTAGTTTTTGTTTCTTTTAAAATAAATAGTAATTCCTAGAAGTAATACAGTTATTCCACTATCAATTTGTTCGTTAATGCATTTGTGACAGCTTCCATTTGATTTATTGGGTTTTCGGCTATTTTAGATGATATTAATGTAATTGTCTAGACATAAGGTGGCTTTTTAATCGTAAAAAATAGTTGTTTTCGTAATTAATTTAAGTGAGAAAACATGCGTCATGTGAGAAGTTTCATTGGTTGATCAAGTTACTAAAAATCGCTAATTGGTTATCAACTTTTGGATACAATGTAAGGAGGGAAGTTCATTTAAATACTGGAGGACGCGCCGAGAAAAGTCTCTCCCGACAAGCGCGAGGCCGAGTTACGGTCCGTTGAAGAAGCCTTCTTGCCATTATTCGAAGCCGAATTACACTACGTTTAAGTTTCGTTGCCTTTCATCGCTTTAAACAAATTCGTCGGTTTATCGAAGAAAATTCAGTACCTATAACTCGGACAGCCATTCGAGATCTCGGTGGTGTATTTTTTGTGTAGTGCAATGAACGATTATCTATTTGGGGAATGGATTTAAAAAGAGCAAGTTTTGTGCGTCATATTCGTTAAAATGCATTGTTTCCGGTTGTAATTAGTGTTGTGTCCTGATCGTATTGGCATATTATCACTGGAAAAACTGTAACTTACATTAAGGCTTTTTGATGTTTGTTTATTCGGACGCTGTGGTCCACGTTTGTGATTAGGATTTCATGTTAAATTCATTTGTGGTCATAGAATAAATTTCATTATTGTAAAATCATTCAGGTCGTGTGTTTATTCGAACCCTTTAACGACGAAGAGAGAAGTCTCATATTCTTTTACGTTTACTTTTGTTCAGTTCAAGCGCTTTCAAAAATTGGTAACTGGCCGCTTTGGAATGTAAGTAGTTTGAATTGAATCATTTTGGTTTGGATGTGTACTGAAAGAAATTTCATTAAAGAGCTAGTTAGGTTTGAGAAGTGTTGTATCTGGCTTGAAATTAAAGGGTTACACCAACATCAACGCCACCGAATCGCCGCCGTACCGCTAAAGAAGATGTCGGTCGCATTTTCAAGAAGAGAACGAGATACTTGAAAACGACGGGACATAACCCGCGGATTCTGTAACCGGTCAGTGCATATTTTAGACCTATTGCAGAAACACGAGAAGCCTCGCCTAGCAGTTTGGTTGGTCCGTGTGCTTTTAACTTATATCTAAGTCCTGGGGAAGCAACCAAGTATACATCGAAACAGGAACCGAAAATCATCTAGAGATCTACTGGTCCATAAACAATAAAGGTATTTATCAACATTTGTTTTTTCGCGTTGCAGTTTTGCTACTTTTCGTCCTTTGCCTCGTTGTATATTTGAACTAGCGCCGTTGTGCAGTGGCGCCCCCCCCCCCATTGTCCATTTTTTTCATGAATTTTCTGTCGATCTCATTTCCATTGACCATTATGCCAGATTTCTTTTACTTTTTTCCGTGTTGGGACAAAGTTCGGGTTTGGGCTCCTTCCTTTACCAAATCCTGGGACCGCCACTGCCGTTGTGTAATCAAAAAACTATTGAGGAAAATTAATACTCAAGCACCATTCGTTGTAGCTTACCTTATTGGGATTTATGAAATAATTGTAGTTCAACGATATAAGTTATATACGACTTATATAATTTTCTTTTATCAGCTAACGGTGATTCATTATACACTGAATTTATTTTATTTATAAATAAAGTGGAATATTTCCTATCAACGGGAAAGTATGTTTTTGCGAATGGAAGTGGTTTAATCATTGTTTCCCCTCAACCCTCTTTACAAAAACGTTACTCTATTACAGGCGATATTTTTAATAAAGCAAGAACCTTCTCAAATTTTAATAAAGATTATTGAGTTATTATTTACTCCTTTACCATTATCCTTAAGAGGCCAGAAGAGGGTTATTAACCGAAGAGCAGCCGAGGCATATTAATATAATTAGACAACAAGAACCACTCCCAATTAATTACGATACTGCAAGATTAACCTGAGATCAAATCGAGGGGAGGTAAAATTTGTAACATCCGTTACATCAAGCCCATGTGGTTATCACCCAAGAAGCAGTTGCAAATGTGGACCGCGGAAATGAATCGGCGAATCTCTTTTCTAGATAAGATTTCGTAGTTAAATATTATTTGAGCAGTAAATAATTTTATAAAATTAATAATTTAATTTTAGTAATTAATTTTATATTTCCAGCAATTGCGGCTATGAAACACAATCAAACGATTTAGTGAAGTCCACAAACGTCGCAACTGAATGAAGATCTCCCTCAAAGAACAAAATGTGTGGTTGTTTCTTCGTGTCGACTCCTAAACATTCTGTTGATTGTCGATTTTTTAACTTTATTCCTTTGAATTGATGGATATAGTATCACAGATTTAATAAATCTTAAATCTGTGATAGTATTTTTGAGTCCTGATTACTGATAGATAGTAATAAACTATCGCATACAGCAGGAAAGTTAATAGCTTAATATGAATATTTCCCTTATATGTCATAAATGCCATATGAGGTGTGCAATTATCGCTCAATTACAGCGATAATTGTACTGTAGAAAGCGAAAGAGCCCTGCGATAATTGCACTGTCCATATCCATGGCAACTGGCAACTCCTTTGGACAATTTCACAATACACCGACAATTTATAAGTAGGTAACGTCAGTTTGACAAGTAATGCTTGTTCGGGAAATATTCCCCTAAATTACACTCGTGCATCAAAATAAACCTGATAATTTTTTATTCAAGCATGTTGTCAGTAAAAAACTGCATTCGGTCATTTTCATATTTTGTTAAAAGAGCCCTCCACCTTCGGTGTCGGGCTCTTTCGCCAAAATATGAAAATAAACTCATGCAGTTTTTAGACAACATGCTTTCAAAAAAATTATCGGTAATTTTGATGCACTTGTGCAATTACCTACGAAAATTTAGTTTTGTAAAAAAATTGTAAACGAAAAGTGAAATAAACTCTGGCGTAATAACTGTAGGATCACCCTTTAGCTGAAAAACGGCATGCCACGCACACAATGGTCTGACCACGTACTTACGTACTATTTCCAGTTACGCGATGGTTGTTGTACACTCGATTAAAATAAAATAAACAAAATAAAGTAAGGTCAACCGATCCCATTGAAAATTATGACGATATAAATCCTAATCAGAAGCATTGTAGCGAGAACTCCGACACATTAATGTAATGTTTGTTTATTCAATGTGATGCTGTACGGGATAAGAGACCATTGTTCGCACCATTAATTGCTTTCGTTATGACGTCACATTTTAGATCACACTAACTAGGCGACTTTAATAGGCAATCAAGCGAGGAAACCAATTGTAATGAAGGAAAGTAATGATACAATCTATTTAGCCATATTATACCTAAGCCGTTTGGAAAAGGTATTTCACTAATGTAATTTGTTAATACATACCTTCAATGTGAAGAAAAACACTTGATGCGAATTCGTAACATTGGAGTCAGTTACGATGGTAATTTCCGCAAAGTAATATATAAAGTGGTACAAAGTCGTAAA